TTCAATGAACCTGCATAATTGCTATTATGAATATAATTTGAAAGATGCTTACAACATTGTTAGTTTTCTGTTTTATTTTGTTTTTGAGTAAATAGGGCTGATAGGAAGTCACATTTATCAGATGACCTCTTAAAATATGGAGATCCATACATTTTCTTTAGGTAATAAACAGAATATATATAGTATTTCCATCTCTAATTCAATTTTTATCATATCAGTTTCAGAAATTTTGTGAAACTACACAAACATGACCTTCTCAAGTGACAAAATTTCAGTGGTAATAAAAACTGTCAGACTTTTCTTACCAATTCCCGAGTATGTATTTTACCTCATTTATAGTTTTCCCACTAATAGTTTTCCAAGGACATTATTAAAATCCAGATGATGTGTTTTGAGTTGTGTATGTGATTGTTTTATTTTAAAAATTATTTTATCATTTTAGGAGCCTCCATCATTGAAGCTGGGACCTCAGAAAGTTACAGAAATAATAAAGCAAAACTGTACTGGCATGGGATAGGGTTCCTAAATTGTGAAATGCCTCCAGATATTATCCTTCAGGTAAAAGCTGAATTAAGAATAACCCATTTCTATTTTAGAAAATTTATTTTTATTTATTATGAAACTATTAATGTTTAATATGTTATGAGTCTCTAAACTTNAAATTTATTTTTATTTATTATGAAACTATTAATGTTTAATATGTTATGAGTCTCTAAACTTGTTACAGAACCTGAAATCTTCTTACATTTTTTATAGTCATTAAAGTGCATGAATTATTTCTAATTTTCTTTTCAGTAAATTATGATTAATTAATTATTATTTATTTATTTCTTTAAGATCAGTAAACTAGATTATTTGCTTCTCAAATCTTTCCTGTAAGTTTTAAGTTTGTAAGTTTTTGTGAGTTGATTCTGTGGCCTCCCTTTTCCACTGAAAACTTCAGTCATTCAAAAAATATGTGTTAAAAATGTTTGTCCCCTAAGTGCTAGTACCATGTTAAGAGCTGTGCATACCACAGGTTCTTATTAGTCCGATTATAACAGGAGAAATTTCCAAGTAAGATTTTTAATGAACCTTTAGGTTCAATTCTAAAGTCAGTAGACATCAACAGACAGTAACACATTTCTTAACTATGATTCACACACCTAAAATTAGTTTCAAATTTAGAAGTACCTTCAGGAGAAAACCCATGGTTCTTATTCCAGGATATTGTTTAGATCTAAAAAATGCTAGACCTCATCTTTCTTCTTTACCACTAAGATCAACAGCACCAACACTATCACTACCACCACCATCACCATCATCATCACCATCATCACCACCACGAC